CCGCCACAGCGTCCCCCCCCCCCCCCCCCCCCAGCAGACGGATGTCATCAGTGGGCCGCGCGCCCGCCGCCAGAGCATCGTTATCTGACCGGCGGTCCGAGCAGGCGCGGGCGGCAGCCGTCGACGCAGGCGGCCGCGTGCTCGCGTGGATGGCAGCGCGGCCGCCAGCTGTTGGCTGCAGAGAAGGTACCCGACCGGTCACCGTCGGCGACGCGTATCGAAGTCGTCACTGGCGGCGGCCGCCTGTCCACAATGGTGTGGAGTTCACGGCAAGCGGCGGGGCGGCCGAGCACCGCGGAGCAAGCCGCGTTGGCGGGGGCAGCCACCGGCCGGCCGATGCCGCGCCCGCCGACGCAGACGGTACCAGTAGGCTCAAAGACCTGGCTTCATGACGTCAACCAACCAACCGAAGCAAATTCTTAACAGCAAACAAAATCTATGTCAGCGAAGCAATTTCTCACTGACTGCCTAAAAGTTTCGCAGATGCTTCGAAGGCACATGCACTGTCTTTTCCAGGGAGAGGCGGTGGTGACATGGCCAGCCAGCCGGGTGACGCGGGATGGTGGCGCGGGCCTGTCATGTGGCGAGGGGGGGTGGCGAGGGCCTGCCATATGGCGGAGGGGTGGTGGCGAGGGCCTGCCGGGTGGCGAAGGGGTGGTGGTGCAGGCCTGCCAGGTGACGAGGGGTGGTGGTGCAGGCCTGCCGGGTGGCGAGGGGTGGTGGCGCGGGCCTGCCGGGTGGTGAGGGGTGGTGGCGCGGGCCTGTCGGGTGGCGAGGCCACCTCGACTGTATTTGTAAGCGCAGCGCCGCCCACAACTAACACTGGTGTTAGAACGGACGGGCATTTGCCAGACATTCTGTGAATGTGTCTCCATGCCCGCGCCAATGGCGTACAACGGTTGATGTCTGTCACATAGTTCTGCCGTGACCTGTGCTTCGACTCGCGCACAGCTAGTCTGGCCTGTGCACGAGCCTGTTGAAAAAAAAAATTGCCGTGGTGGACAACCGGCCGAAATGTTTAAATGCCTTCTTCCTATAATGAATGACAGCCTTACATTCCTCCGACCACCAGGACGCCGGCAGCCGCCGGGGTTTGCTCGAAGGGGATAGATATTCGAGCAGCCGTCACGATACATGAATTAACGTGCTCTACCAGGAATGCTGCTGGATCTCCGACCGGGGGACGTGCGTCGATTGAGCACCCCGCAGAAAACGCCGCTCAATGCGCTCGTCAGGCATCCCATCGCGGTGGCCGAATGCTTGGGCGAGCAGCGCTGTTGTACGGCCAGATGGGAAAATGATTGCCGCCGGGGGGGGCAGCTGTCAACCTCCCGCAAAAACTGATTGCACAGGGTTGGCGCACATAATGAGAGATCAATAACAGAATCGCTATCCGACGGCAGTGAAATGTGGGTAGGATGTCCGACATTTAAAATACAAAAAGACTATCTGTTGAGGAGACGTCCAGTCTTTCGTCCCTGCAGTTCGTAAGAGCACAACCGCGCGTTGTGTTATGTGAGTTAAAATCGCCGAGGACCAGGAACGGTGATGAAAGTTGGTCAAGACAGACTTCAGCGATGGTTCACGTAAGTCGCCCGTCGGTGGTAAGTATATGGAGCAGACTGTGCCTTGTAACGCCTGGGTCAACCGAACAGTGACAGCGTGTAGTTCGGTGCGGATATTACGCTCGGCACACTGTTACGGCACACTGTTCGGCACACTGTCGGAACACTGTTACGCATCAAAACGACAACACCACCACGAGCGATAGTGTCCGATCTCACGTCGTTTATAACACACGGTAGCATTTAATGACTTGCCCTCTATCAGGAAACATCTTCGTTTCCTGTATACGTGCTAGCACTGGATTGCGGGAGACTAGAGGCCCTTGCGGGTCAGTCACGTTGGCTCTAAAACCGCGCAGGTTCCATTGTAAAACTGAACACGACCTGGTGGATGCTGTCTTCTAGTATAAAATTGCAGTGTTTTACAATGGGATCCCGGTCCGTTCTTGCTCCGAAGGCTGACGATTCTGACGAGCAGCCTCGGTGTATCTGGACCGAACCCTGGGCTGGGCCCTCTGGCTCCCTCCGTCCGTGGGAGCACTGGCTACGGTGGGGTCCGTCCGTGGGAGACACTGGCTACGGTGGGGTGTGTCCGTGGAGACACTGGCTACGGTGGGTCCGTCCGTGGGAGACACTGGCTACGGTGGGGTCCGTCCGTAGAGGCACCTGGCTACGGTGGGGTCCGTCCGGGGAGACACTGGCTACGGTGGGGTCCGTCCTGGAGCACTGGCTACGGTGGGGTCCGTCCGTGGGAGACACTGGCTACGGTGGGGTCCGTTCGTGGGAGGCTACACTGGCTACGATGGGGTCCGTCCGTGGAGGCTACACTGGCTACGGTGGGGTCCGTTCGTGGGAGAACTGGCTACGGCGGGGGTCCGTCCGTGGAGACACCGGCTACGTGGGGTCCGTTTGGCGCCACGGCCCTGGGCGGCGGACG